GTGCCAGTCTCCAGGTGCATTTGGCTATGTCCTGATGTGATCCATCCACCCTGACCTGCCTTCAGGCTGGGCTCAGCAGCTACTTGAGCCAAACTGGGCCAGTATTTAGTGATCTCTCATATACAGTGAAGTTTCCACTGGCCTTAGAGAATGCCAGTTAGGGAACCAGCACTTCTGCATCTTTATTGTCTCAGTTAGTTTCCTCTGAGCCTAACTCAGGCCTATCTCTCCTCATCCTTTCTATACTGGGAGCAGAGACATACAATGTATCATACTGTTCTGAATGTTTAATCTGGGCAAGGCAGGTGGGTAGGCAGAACGTGTTTCTCCATAACAAAGCACAGTGTTACCAGGGAATACTGTTGGAATGGGATGGCCACTGGCTGAGTTCCTAGGTCTCAATATGCGATGGTACCTTAGTGTTAGCCTCACCTTGCCCTCTCATGCCTCTACTGATGAGACTCAAAGTCAGAAAAATTATATACTTGGTCAAGGATATGCCCAGAGGTTGAACCAAGATAGCAAGAAGGACTTTCTTTCTGGTCATTTTGAGAGCAATCTCTTCTCTCTCATATTTATGTGTGTGTGTGTGTGTGTGTGTGTGTGTATTTGTATGTGTGTGTTTCTTTTTCATTGTGAAAATGCCAATAGGTGCTATGTAAAATGCACAAAAATCATATTTAAAATTATTTCGAAAAACTTTTTACTCTGGGTTTTTTAAGTTATCAGTGAAATAAAGGCTAATGGGCTGCATTTTTTTAAAAAAGTCACAGATTATCAGGCAGTTAAGGTGTGCATTTATTGTCTGCACATCTGCACTTACGCACATGATCTATGTATCTATGTGTTGCCATGTGCATAATTTTGTGTATACACACGCAGGCCTTAGGCCCATGAGTTCATACTTCACAATGGAGATCTTCCTTAGCTGACCTGTACCTCAGCACTGCCCCTCTCCAGTGTTCGTCTTGAGTTATAATATTTCTCTGATCTCAATATTCTTGTATATAAAATGCCATGTTCAGTACTCCCATGAAATGGGAAGTCCAACCAAGGTTGAGCTACATATACCTGTAAAAATTATGGTGAGTTCATGAATTAGGCATGTTTTTCTCCCCTTTACACACGAGGGAACAAAGATGAGGGAAAGGTATGCATGCATGATAATCTGCTGAGTCACCCAGGGAGTTTTTGAAGGGGCAGAGTCACACACCTCCATCTGTGTGCATGGCTGGCCTTGCTGTGACTTCCCACACCCTTCCTTAGCCAGAGGCTGAAGTGATGAATAGCAAGATGGAGGCTGTGGAAATGAGAGCATCCTAGTGGGTTTTACCCAGCTTATATTTGCCCTGTATGCTCATATTCCTGCTTCCCCTATATGTCTGAGACTTGATTCTTAAGACCAACCTAAAAGTGCTTCTCTGGATGGGGGAGCATAAAGAAGAAAGAAGAATGGGGGGTAGTGGAATGGAACTCACCTTGGATAGGCAGTAAGTGCTACCTTCATTGAGAAGTGCATGTGTGGACATATCCTAAAAGTACCTGGTGGGACTGGGCTTGCCTTGAAATGCTTTGTCAGCCATTCAACTGCTGCACACGACTGCTTCTGGTATTCTACCCAGGAAGCAACAGAAGGAGAACTGCTGGAACATGACCGTTTAATCCCTTCCTAATCTTCAGAATCTCTTGAGTCTTCCAGCTCTTCAAATACTCAACTGTCAGAACTTGGTGAGCAGATATATCATGGTCAGAGGAAGCCCAGATACTGTGCTGTGCAGTTCAGGCAGGTAGGGGACAACGTTATCAGCTAGTTACTTTTAAATGAGTTTTTATATAGTTAATAAGAAGAGAGAGAGAAAAGCCAAATACCATTTACAAAATTATTACTTTTGTTTCGCAAGACACATAGATTCAATTTTGCACAGAAAATTGCTTGGGAAGAAAAGACTCTCGGCAGAGCCCTTCAAAGACAATTTAATATTTTTAATAAGGAAAATCTTTCTGATTCTCAACTATTTAGCCATGAAATCTTAAAAATCCAATGAAAGTCTGCCTTCAATAAATGCTGCTTTACAAATTTTATTGTCTGTTTAACAACCTGAGAATATTAGCATTCCCAAGGCACTTAAATTCAGTTATAATTACAAACACTGCACTTTGAAAACTGTCTTTCGTGTAATTTAATGTAATTTACTGCCTATAAACTATTTGCTTATTTTTCAGATCTTCTTTATCTCAAAATTGTAAATAAGGTCAATTAGCTCAGGAAAAGGCAAGTTTCTAAACATTGTCTGTCTTTAAGCAGTCATTTATAAACATACACATGAATAAGACACATGCACACATATGCATAAAAAACCCATAAAGCTTGGAAGATTTTGCATGTCACTAATTAACTATTTTGAAAAGAACTGAAGGCAGGCGAGTTGTCACACACATGTAATACGCTTGGAAGGATGCAAAGCTTCAGGCTACAGGATGAGTTCAAGGATAGTGTGGGCAAGTTATTGAGACACTGCCTCAAAATTTAAAAAAAAGGCTAGGGACATAACTCAATGTGTTGTAGACAACTTGTCTAGCATATCTAACTCCCTGTGTGCAATCTTCAGTAATACACACACACGCACACGCACACACACACAGTGCTGCAGTTAAGACTCATTATAGAATGGTGATAGCATGCTATCAGGAGAAGTGACAGGGCCATCCTATCCACAAAAGTGGTGGCAGTAGCTTTCCTTACATTGAAACTTTGTCTCTTAAGACAGTCATTGGCATATGGTGGCTTTTCTCAGCAGACCACAGCTCAAGATCAGGACTGGGGAGATGGGTCAGCTGTAGAGGGCTGAGCGGGCAAGTGTGAGGATGGGAGTTCAATACACAGCACCCATATCAAAAGCTGGGAAAGATGCTGTATGCTTGTAATACCGGCACCAGGGAGGCAGAGACAGATGCATCCCAGGGGTTTGCTAGCCAGATAGTCTAGCTGAATCAGTGAGCTCCAGGCCCAATGAGAGATCTTGCTTCAAAAAGTAAGGTACAGAGTGATTAAGAAAGACATTAGGACATGGGATGTTGGCCTTCAAATGTGCACACATATGTGCACACATCTACACACACACACACACACACACTCCCTTCTAGATCCGAGCTGTGTCTCTGAACTATGTAGACTCTTCCATCTATACAGTAAGGACTACCACTGGACGTGCTCCATGGGAATCGGAAGGGATTTCTTCAGTGTCTACAACTGTAATTCCAACACTCTTAATGAAGGAAGTATCAACATCTGTATACTTGTTTTTCTTCATACCTAAGCATCAAATGCATGGCTTTGGCCTTGTCCAAAATACTCCCCTTGTCACACAATCCCCCTCACATTTTGACACTGCACCGTGTCATTAGCTTAAAGCAGTCTTGAAGTAATTGGCACACTTGCTAAAAGCTACAAAAATATCTAAGAACACAAAGCCACTCTGTTGCTAGGAAAGCAAATCTGCCCTTAAATGGTCTACTGATGGAATTATGGGGGTCACCTGCACACTCCCTGTCTCCCTCCACACTCCCAGTGTTCTCTAGCCAACGCTTATGATTAGACACCTGTGAACTATGTGTCTTACTTGCTCTCTCCTGCACTAGAAAAGTAAGTTCCTATATTAGACTTTTAGCACTGGTATCTGTCTATTCCATTTGCCCCTATAAGAGCATCGACAGACACAGACCAGGGGCTGGTAACCAGCACACAGCCATTACACAAATGTTTGTATATCCACAGCTAGAGAAGACCTGGATTCTTCTGGACAAGTGTCAACATAGTGTTATGTGGTCTTTCATGTTGCAATCTGAGTACCTCAAAGCTCCGTAACAATTTGATCATTTTTGACACTTCCTACTACTGTGTCAGTGTTAGTGTCTGCTCAGTTCTTCTGGGCAGAGGGAAGTATGCTCCTGTCTCGGGTACTCATCTTGGATTTCTAGAAAAACATAAGCCACCCAAGGGGTGTTTCCATCCTCCTTCTACTACTGCTGACATGACAGATTTCAATCCACTCTCCCAATAGTATTCTACTGTTTAGTGCTCATACCTTCCCACTGTATACTTGACTGCAAGAAACCACAGCATGGTGACAGCCAGCACTAACAATAAACAACTACACTTTTTTAAAACCACTCTCTGTTCCCACAGCAGAAGGGAGATCCATCCAAGTGTACTGTGGCAGTTGGAAAGAGTAGGCTGTGACAGAAGCTACGGCCTATCTGCTGGTGACGATGCTGTTGCCATATTTTACAGCTTAGGAATCACCCGCTCCTTCGAAACCCGTAGCTCTGTTGACTGGCTGCACTGAGATAAGCCTATGGGGATTTGGGGGAAAGAACTAGTGTAAGTGGAGGAAAAGAGCTGAAAAGGGAGACAAAAAAAATGCAAACCAGTGTTGCTCTGATGAATGTAAGTGACTCCCTCTATGTCTGTACACAGGGAGAGTGGACAAGGCTTGGCAGCATAGGAAGGATGGCACTCTTTCTTTATTTCTTATCCTCAGGTTCATTTTGCAGGGTATTCCTAAAGAAAACCCCGTACTTTGCTTGTAGAGGAAGAACCGCAACATGCTTCAGTGTGCACCTCAGAGCCAATGCAAACACTAAGATGTTCAATGCCTTGGGGATGGACGCAAAATGATGCCAGCAGTGGCTCAAAGGTCTCAACGTCTTCCTTTTCTTCCTGTGAACTTGCTCCTTTTTGACCTCCCCTTGGCCAATGTGTGCTGCTTTCAGGGATCCAGACAAATTCCCCATGATTGGTTAAACGGCAAAATAAGACACAAATGGGTTTAAATTCATCCTGTCTACCCTCCAAAGGGAACTATAAATGGATACAGGTAAGGGATATTCTGATTTCTCTTAATTTTGCCACATGTGGTGTTTTGCCAGTGGCAGAACGGGAAAACTTAGTCGAGACTGGCCATTCCATCTCCTCACAGGGTACAGAGGGAGGTACTCACCAGCACTGACAGTGATCGCTTCGATGAACTGCTCCCTCCAGCTGTTTGTCCCAACCACGAGGGCCAGGTTTGTCTTCTTAATGAGTTTGTCCACAGTGCTCTAGAAGAGGCAAAGGGATAAAGACAATAACTTCTGGGGTTGTGAAGGTCTCAGGAAATCTAAAACCTTGTTTGGAAGCCTCAGGGTTATATAAAGGGGTAGCGGATGTCAATCTCAGAAGAAATTTATCCATGCATAGTAAACACTGTTCCCATTATGCAAACAATCGTGGTCTTTGGGAACACTCTGAAATGGGAACTTCTGCCCAGAGAAGTCTAGCCTCCTTTACAGCCTAGTGACCAATCAGGAGCACCTCCAGTGTTTCCAACAGCAGCTGTTTGAAAGGTCAGCTGCACCCCACAACAGCGCGGCCAAGTTGACTCCCTTTGGCTTATCTGTCGCAGGCTGCCTGCAAGTGAATCAGTATTGGCCCTATCCAGTATTTAGTGTCTGTGACCGCCTGGAAGTGACAGATCTGAGATGGAAGACATCTTGCTATATTTTTGTCGCAAAATGAAGCCAGGTAGCAGGGTTTAAGGTTGCTTGCTGTTTGATCAACAACAAATAGATGATTTGGTGGGGGTGGTGGGGGTGCAGAGAGGTCACTGGATTTTTCGGCTTGCTAATAGCCAGGCAGTTCTATTCTCACTCCACCGCTGCTACATCAGGAGCACGTTAGACAAGCGAAAGTCAACACCTGTGGCTAAGGGCACGCTGCTAATAACCATTCACCATATTTCCATACTTTAATAGCACAGAGGTGCCTGCCCCTTCTTTTACTTTAGAACTTATTGGGCAATTAGTTTTTGTGCAATGAGCACTCTCCAACTTTCTAAATTTGGTTAACAAAACAACGGGGCTTGCCAAGCACTCACAAGGAAACTAAGTAAGCCATACAGTCAAAGCGCTACCACAAATCATGGCAACTACAGGGAAAAGGGACATTTCCAGGGCAATGAGGCTGCACCTCCCAGGGAAACTACTGCACCAACTAGTCTACCAAACCCCCACACTTACTGTCAGAGCATCCTCGAATTTCCACTAATCGCAAAGAGGCAGAAAACACATATTATTTGCCTTAGGTAATGACTTATACGTGTTCAACGCAGGATACAGAACTATGGTTTGAGGGAGCTGACAATATTGGCTGAGCATGTTAGTTCTTTATGCATCATTGGAACTGATTTGCAACACTGTGAAGAAATGACACATGGAAGGACCCAACTCCAACTAGTGCTCTCTGTATCTGCAACGTTATTGGTGGCCAGCTAATATGTCCTTGGGTTGGGGAGGGGGCTGACCTTGCAGCTTCTTGTCTGGTATCCAGAACTGCTAGTGCTCCTGATAAAAGTTTAAATCATTGCTCTTGGGAATGATAAATTGAGACACACGGCAGGCATCTGCCTTTTCTCTCTCAACTCAGGCACATCTCGCCCTGTACTCTGAGCATCTTGGCTGATGCCAATTTAAAGGGCTGTGTGGAATGTAAGAAGAAATGAGCTCAGTTTTTCTCCTACATGGAGTGGAAACTTGGAGCCTCTCTCTCTAAGGGGGAGAGAACACACTGTGCCGTAGCCAGGTCCGAGAACCCCCTCATCTGAGAGATAAGCAGGTGAGCATTGCTCCAGCAGAGGAACACGGACTTCCCTATAAAACGACTGATAAAGATCAAACTTTTAAGGGGAACTAAACTTAACCTTTATTGATGTGGAAAACCCCAAGTATATATTAAAATGTAGTAAACATGAACCAGAGAGGCAGAGCTAAAATTTTTCCAAGTGCTGTGCAGTTCGGTTCCTTCATCTATGTGAGGAGGGAGAGAAAATCCAGATGGATTAAAGTTCAGACATTACTCTCTATTCACCTGGAGAGAGACACTCAAGACGTTATGAATGCCTCACCTTGAGAGTGGGCATTAGTAAAGCCACCGCCTTAGCATGGTGGGTGAGAAGGCGGGGGTAGAAGGGGGAGCACGTGCTGTCCAGATCATGCTCTCCTAGAGCTTTGGACAAGTCTCAAGTTACATTCTAGAAAAACACAATTCCTAAGTGAAGAAAGCCAATGGTGACGTTACTGCCCTTGAAAAATGTGCCCCCAAGATGCCCTTTAGGTGTTAAAGTTAACGATGACTGTGTTTGTGAACTTGAGATGGAAGTCAAAGTTATTCTAAAGAATAAAAAAATAAAAACCTCAGTAAAGTGGACTTATATAAAGAAACTGCAGTACTTTCTAAAGAATCTATTAGCATTGCTCTTTCTATGGCTCTTTCCTCTAAGGCTGAGAGCACACAATGTGTATAAAAAATGCGGGAGTGAATTAGTTCTAGAAATGGCAGTCTCCACTGTGACAGGCAACACCGAACCCTTTGATTCCCACTGGGAAAAGCTGCAGGAGGAAGAGGACAGCTGGACACGTGTGGACACTGAGTAATGGAGTGGGCTATAGAAACCGACAGACGGAGATTTGTGGAGATCACATGAGCATAGGATGCTCCCTCCATGTGCTCAGAGATCACATGAGCATAGGCACGTTCCCTCCTTGTCCTTCCGAGCCAGGCTCATGGCTATGCCATGCTGGGCTTGGCAGTGGGCTCAGTCCCGAAGTCTTCATTCCACTGTTGACTCCAAGAGACAGATAGGTTCTCAGTGGCCCGAAGAAGGTTTTAAAAAATTCCATTTTAATTGCAAAGACACCTTCTCACTTACTACCTATCAGGCAACTCAATCTGAGGATTAATGAATCAACAAGGAAGAGGTAATTAGTACTAAAGATCCACGTAGGCTTCTATATGAGCCTGGTTCTTTATTTTTTTTTCTTTGATTGTTTGAATAGGCACCATCTCCTTTTGAAAAACAAGGAAAGAAAATATTGTTCTGTTCCGGGTTTGTAATTCTCGATGTTATTAGAAGAGATTCACAGTCTCTTATCCCATTGTACAACTAAAGTTGGCTGCACCTCGAGTTTTCTTAGATATGAAGGATCTGGTCAAGAAAAGCTATGTGTGGGGGATGGGGCAGAACAGTGGGTTAGGAGGGACACACAGGTTTCATCCTCAAATCTGAAGCTCATCCCCATATATTTAACGTTTAAAGGAATGACTTCCATGACCTGAGAAATTTTAAATCTTGACTGAGGATGTAGCTCAGTAGTATAGTGCTTGCCTGACATACTGGAGTCCCTGGGTTCAATATAGAGAATCACACCAAAAAGAGAAAGAGAGATGGGAGAGGGAAGGGAGGGCGGGAGGGAGAGAATTGGAGAATTCAGTCTCATCAGCTCACGAATAAACTGTATAGTTGAAGACACTGCTTCTCTTTTGTAGGCAGTGCCAAAGAGCATTCTCAGGTCCAAACAGCTTAGCTATAAATGATCATTCTCCAAAACCACAGCCTTTGAATTTCCACACCACAAATCCTGATAGATTCATCAGACTTTTTCGTACTGATTAAGAATCTCTAAAATTTTTTTTGTCTCCTTTGAGACAAAGCCCTCCTTTCAAGGGACAGTTCTGACTCGGTCACAGAGCATGTCACCTGCTGGACTGTGGCTATGATGCTGTTTACTGTACAGGATTTCTTGGTTCTCTGCTAACTCCACATTTTCAAATTGGATCTGACAGCCTTTTAGGGAATGAGCCTGTACGTGACATCACATTTTCCAGTGTCCCCAGAAAGCTCTTAGGGCACAGAGCACACCGAACCACCTTGAGCAAGCTGATGGGGCGGGCAGTATTGACAGGCTCACCTTGAATTCGTAAGACTCTTCAATGATCACCTCCAGCTTGGTGTGCTCTCCCAGGATGGGGCGCCCCATTTCTGCAATGCGCCTCTCCTCTTCCTCTTTGCTAGTCAGTGGCTGCTTGTCATCATACTCGTCTGGGAAAGGGAAGGCAAGAGTGTGAACAATGCGCTCCTTCAGATTTGCAAGTCCCAGGATCCCGCTATAAGAAAAGCAGGGAGCAAGGATGCCCTAAGGACCAACTGAAAGTCTCTAGGGTGAGATAGGGAGGGTGAGGGACAAAAGGGCGGAGCTTGGTCGACGGGGCAGCGCCACACTGAAGCAGCAGGGAATTGGAATATGGTTCAGTCTCATCTCGTGTGAAAGCACGGACGGGGAAAAGCCATGTTCAGGGCATGTCACTGAGAAGGACCTTGCTGCATATTGTTTGTGCCGAGGGAATCACCCAGCTGTTTTCTGTGAAGCTGGCCAGTTTGGCGGTCTGCGCACATTTTTCCCAACACGTGACTAAAGGGAAACACAATTAAAAGTCTTAAAGTAACCCTGAGGGAAGTGAGAGTTTGGTCTTTTCCTTTCCTCTTTCTAGATGCATCAGAAAATGTCTCAGGGCCAAAGAGACGCGAGAAGGATATTCTGATCTCCTTCGTAGCTTCACGCTTGTCAAGAGTCCCTGTCACAGGTTCAGCTCTGAAACATCCATTTTACATTTCCTTGAGATGGCTGACTGGGCCCCAGTGCGTCCTCTCGGGTGCAAAGGTGAAATGTATTAGGAAAGCTCTGACCATGTTAATCTTAAAGCAAACAGAGAGGGCGAGGGTTAGGCCTTTGGGGAGCTAATATTCACTCTGTGGGAATGATTACTTCCAGAAGCACCAAGTAAGCTCTCATTCTAGGAGAGGCAGGGGGTGGAGGGTTCTCAGGAAAGAGTCTGTTGATGAGGAGGAGAAGCTCACAGTCATCTCTCTCTGCACGGTAGTCATTGGGATAAATCCCAGACTGACAAAGCCAAGCATCTGTGGAGGGCAAACACTTGTAATCACCCTTGACCTTCAGGTCCAGGATGCTGGGAAATGATAGGCTACTTCCTCAGAGCCCAGTGAAGCACTCATATCCAGGGAGGCAGAGGTGTTGCTATGGAAAAACCTCCACTCTGAGGCTCTCGCCTCCAGGATATCTGGGCAATTGCCTGTAAGCGGAGTCTGTTGTCTGAGTCATCCAGATTGGGAAGGGCTGACCTTTTTGTTCAGGCGTCCTGACCTGCCTTTTGCATTTAGACATCAGTATCAGCAGGGGTTCGTACCTTCTATTTCCTGCACAGATACAGCTTCCTCTCTGCTCTGGAACCCTGTGGCTGTAGTTGGTTCTATTTATTGATCTAGCAATGGTTTTAAGGGATGATTTTTGGCTAGCAGTGTACTGTGAGGACTGGGGTTGGGGGGTAGAGGGGCTGGAAGTATAGCTAGCCCCTTTGATTTCATGTGTCAGAAGGAATGGATGGCAGAAGCAGAGTGCATCTGCTAACACATTCTTTAGCATGCACTTAGTAATGTATTCTAAAATAATGCATTTAAAATCCCCAGTGGTCTTTAATCCCACCAAATCAAAGGAAAACGAAAATGAGTTATTTGGTCTGTTGAGAAGCTGTTGAATATGAGCAAAGGCAAAGCAGATAGAAAGGGAGATTAATTTTAACTCTAAGAGTGGCAAGGGATTTTATACAAGGATTGCGAAGCTATAAATCAAGGAGAGGCAAGGGGTAGAGTCTCCAAGACTGCCTTCTGAAATCCTGTGTTTTTCAGTCAAGGGGTTGGTGGCCATGTGTGAAGTCAGTTTACCTAGTGTTCAAATCAATCATAGCTTGGTTCTTCACTGCTTTCTGATCATTGGGTCCATGACAATGTCACTGGCTGTTCAGGTTGATTTTATTTGTGCCTTTGTCCAACTCTCTGACATACCTTGAATAATAAATGACTTCTCCCAAGAGAAATATTGCCACTTAGATATCTATTTGAAGTGCAAAGATATGTGTGGGAGAATATTTATTGTGGCCATCGCTTCTGTGATGTACTTACAAACGATAAGTTGTTTTGAATGGGTCTCAAGGTAATTTAGGTAGAAAACATATAGCGGTTAGGGAGAAAATATCATGTACTGGGATTGTTCATGGAAACATCTCACAGAATGAAGCAGATTCAGAAAATGGTGAAAAATAATATGGGTATGGCAGTGAATGAAATTGAATCCATTCTATGAATGAAAAGGTGTCCCCCAAATCCATCAGTCAGCAACAAGTACATGGTTTGATGCTCCCAGGTCTATAACTGCTTCCCAACATCTGGCTTTCTTTCATTTAAGATAAAATAGTTTACAGGTGCAGAATGCTTGACTAGCCAGAATTTAATGGCACTCTCTTCATTGTAAAAATAATTAGCTTATTTTCCACTTATGACAAAAATCTTACTAGATTTTTTTAATTAAGTAAAAGACAAGGTAATTTTAAAAAAGATCACAGGATGTACATTATAATTTGGTTAGTATTTAACCTTCACAAAAATCTCATAAGAAGCTGAAATGTGGACAACATAAAGAAACGGTAGGGAGCTTGTTTCTACTTCTTGCTAAATTCTCTTTCCAAAGCATGGGCTTACCCATCATGCAATTACCAAGAAATGCTCCTACCCCTTCATTTACTTATATTTAAGGCACTTCTTCCATTAGTATGCCAACTGACAACTGGGATTTAGTAAATATCACTTAATTCTTTAATGTCTACTGCGTGTTGAATGGTTTCATGTGGCTTTGGGATTATTTTAATTTGTCTTTACATACACATAGCTAGTCTGTAGGCTTGCAGAGCTAGGGTATGCCTCGGCACTCTTTGGGCTGTCTTTGCTTGTGTCTAGTACAATGTATGGAATGCTGAAAAATTACTCAAGTATTTGTTATGAGATTCAAGTTACCATTAATAATATTTTTCATCTGCTCATTTTTTAAAATAAAAAGACCATCCATTATTTAAACACATGGAATTCTCCTCTTAGAATATATCAGCACAGACACAGTCCTCCTCTTTCTTCAGCTATCTTCTAGAAACTTCTGGTTTAGTGGGAAAAGAGGCATATGAATGAAGAACCAGAATCAATGTGACAGTGACTGAGGGACCAGTGTGGGAAGAATTTTTCTTTCTGCCTATAGAAGTCATGGAAAGTATCAGGACAGAGGATTAATTTGAAGCTATCTTTGAAGCATGTAGAGAGCTTTCCAGGTGATTATGATGGCAAGGATGACTAGGAGGTGCAGAGATGAGTCGAGGCGCCAGTGTCGTAGTTGTCTTTTTGTTGTTACTTTGTCTTAGTACCAAAAAACAATATAGGCCTTAGAAGGTGGGGAAAAGGGCTGGTGACGGAAAAACCTGCTCAGGATTATTTTGATAACAGGACACTTGACAATGTTTCAGCCCTGCTGGCCTCTCTGATTAGAACCCAGGAAGATTTTTATTTTTAGGAATCTTTTAGGAGGAAAATTGGTAGTGGGAGCTGAGAATTGTGATCGTTGGGAGGAGGTATGGTTTGTGAGGGTGAGGGGGACCCTCAGGGTCAGGCAGAGGTACTTTTCCACCACGAGGTCAGTGATGGGCAACAGTGATGACTGAAGGAGGAGGTACTGTTGGCCTCAGCAACGGACTCCACACCAGGAGCTGACTAGTACACTGTGAAGCCTCACAGAACCAGGGGGGCTGTGTGATCCTTGGGCGGCCCTGTCAGTATTCCTTTGTTTCTTTGTACACCAGGAAAGGCACAATTCTGGTGGAAAACACACCCGTTTTGGTTGTGCTTTTTTCTTTTTAAAGAATTTTCATTACACTGAGATATAAAACTTACATGTAAAAGAGATATTTGCAAGAAATTTGAAACATATTAAAATCTGAGAGAAAGAAGGCATTGGATCAACCTCTCTGTAGGTCCATATTATCTCTCCCTACTGCCCCTGATTCTTGATCGCTCGCAGTATCCCAGCTGTCAGAGGAGTCACTCATCAATCGGCAGTATCTCAGAAGACCCAGGGAATGCCGTCTATGATTCTAATAAAGCATGTACCTGAAGGCTGTGGCTCTCAAGGGCCACAGTAAAACGAGTACCTGAAATGCTGATTACAGTGGAGGGAAGCAGATGGTCTCTAGCTTGAACCTTCCTGAAGAGAGGCTGGCCTAGCAAAAGGACAGGCAGAAAATCAGCAGGATGGATCACATTGCTTAGCTCTCAGTGCCTTTTGAAATTAGTAAGCAAAACCAGCACCTAGACGCACACACTGCAAGCCATGTTAGTGTGGCTGGTTACAGGTCACCCCCTGTAGGCCACAAGGGGGAGTTCTGGTGGTTACCAATAGAGATTGCCACCCACAAATGGGAGGTAAACGGTCCATCAGACAAACCCAATCATGCTGGATTAAGTTTGGTGGATGAGATAACGAATCTCTTTCCTTGGGGTGAGAGGTAGAATCAGTACAGCAAGTGTTTGAAATGGATGAGCCAGGTCCTTCCATAATTGGTTCCAGAGGCATCATAAGACAACAGAAAGCACTTGGCATAATGACTTGTGTCCTAATTTTTGAAGCCAATTGGTGCCATCTGTATAGTAGGCCATCTTTTCTATTTTCCCACATATAAATGCAGGTCGTATCTACTCCATTTCTGTCACACGTTTCTTTGAAGTTCAGGGAATGCAGAACCCTTATGAAGGTGCTCACTACATCCATTTCCTGTGCAGACTGGAAAGCATCATTTATGTTTCCATGGAATAAGGACAAGTCATTATTCCCCAGCAGATCCATTAACCAGGCCTCAGAGTTTCACTGTTCTTGTCCAGGTGGTTGCAAGGTCCACCTTGTCTTCGTCTACAAAGAGCTACCGAGAACCAAACTGAGACTCTGGAGACTTGGACTCAGGGCCAGCCCTGCCACTTGTTTTCTACTTAAATATGGGCAAGGAATTCTGCCTCTTGGAGATGCAGCTTTCTCGTCTGTAAAAATGAGGCAACTTTGATGGAGGGGCTTTACCCCTCTAACCCATACCTTGGAGTGCTGGAAGTGTTCTCAAGTGTCAGCAGTCTCAAAGTTTGGCCCATTTAAATAGACATGCATCTGAAGTCTGTTACAAGACCACAGAATGATCAGAAGAGCAATATTAAGGGCATATATTGAGTGCCATAAAATTTTAGGGAGAGCTACAGCTGCAAGTCTTAGAAGTTTTAGGGGAAATACACTTCTCCAGGTTTAGTCAGGATACTGAATCTTATTTAAAGTTATCTCTACCTATGTAATCTAATTTTCCCTTTGGGGCATTTTCCTTTATGCATCCTTTGACTGCCATTCATACTGATGGCTCTATGAGATATAGTTATATAGACTGATAAAGGGCCCAAAGTATAATGTAAAGATAAAGAGAGAAGGAAATGGTTCGTACTATAGGACCAGCCAAATGACAGGGCTAGTGGGCCAAAGGGCCTTTCACTCAGAGTCGAAAATGTGGCTGTCAGCATCTTGGATGAGGTATCCAAGGTTAATCTTTTTGAACCTTTCTTTTTTTTCCCCTGTAAGGGTGCATAATAAAGTCTAACGGAACAGGGATAAAATAATATTCATTATAAACTCTAATGAGTTATAATGTTATCATAAAACCATAAGTCAGAGGGGCAGGAGTTCATAGGTTTAAACACAGGTCATTTGGTAAGACAAGGGCTAGAATAGCAGGTGGAGATTTGCAAATTTCAAAGGCACCTCCAGCATTCAATGTCTATTACTAACAAGGGCTCAACTATTGGTGTGAGGCTGTGGACCAAATGGATTTTTTTTTCATTTCCATATATACTTTTTCTAAATTCCACATCTGTACTCATCCATGCAAGTTCATGTAAAACCTGCAGGCTAAGTCCAAAGGCTATATTAATTCTTCTCTTCCTCCTTGTACCTCAAAGCCTTGACTTCAAAGTTTCAATGTGACTTCAAAGAGAACTCTCTAGGCCTTGTTGCCGCTGCTCACTGTGCAGACCTAAGTTGCAGAAATTTCTTAGAGGCATCGGTAGCAACTGAACCCTGGTATTTCTGGTTTTATGGAAGAAGGAGAATATGAAATTAGACAGTATCCAGATAAGTAACAGTTAAGCCAATGTAGAAATTTCTAGAGAGTTCTGGTATAATCCTCCCATTCTAACTGCATTGATTTATGGATTGGGAGATGTCAACAATGAAAGGACTTCTTATTTTGGCTAAAGTTCCAGCCATAGGGAGGACCCAGGGAACTACTCATATTGTAGAAGCTTTCAGAGAAAGAGATTGTATCATGTTGGATGCAGGGTGCAGCCAAGGCAGGAAATGCTGATATGAGGGATATGGAAAGCTATGGATAGGATCTGTAAGAAAAGAAAATGAGGATCCTACTGGCTGAGATACTGCAAGGGAGGGTGGTTCAAGTGGCATGAAAAGAAAGCCTTAGAAATGAAATCCTCACATGTATAATGCAAGATGGCCAAAGACATACATGCACTCTGGACTGAAACTGTGTAGAGTCTCACCAGGTTGCATAGAGTGTAAGAAACAGCTATTTGATGTGCCATTTCTAGAGACTATGGTTTCTTTAGAAAGACAATCCAGAGCGCCATTTTTCTACCATTTTCTGTATATATCTGGACAATTCCTGGAGGGCTGAATCTGGAAAATCTGACTTGGGAGAGGCTCGGCTGAGTCAGATTCAGGGATTTCTGTAAGGAGACTACCCTGTTTAACATTTTAAGTATTTCTAATTTCTGTGTCTCTGAGACTCTACGAGTGATTCTGTCATTTGCGGGTGTCTAGAGACGAGTAGGGGGCAATCATCCATACAGAACTGCCATACATAGAAAGTTCTGCTCTGGGCAGAGCCACCCTGGCACTCAGTGTCCATGACTTAATACTAACAGAGGTTGATATCAGCTCCAAGCCTATTGTAGTGTCTTCATGACTAGAAATTTTGATAATATTCCCTTCAAATATTTTTTTCTAGTTCTCTGATTTACTATTTGCGCAATACATTGGAAAATTTTGGTATTTGTCTGACATATTGCAAAAGGCCATCTAAGTGGGTCGCTAGAGACATTTTCAACCTGCAGCTTCGGACAAGTTTGAGCCATTACTGGGTAGTCACCTTCCCGCCTAAATCTGCAGGAACGATCCTGAAAAGGTGAGAAGGTACGCAGGGCAGAAAGACGCTGCCCTTAGGAATGATTTCCACCTGTGCACAAGGAACTAGCTTTGGAGATGGCAGAATTTTGAAATTAAAGATTTCAAGCTTTCTCACTGGGATCTTGAATGCTTATGTATGGCTTTGTAAGGCACCTCAAATAGCAGAGAGAGTTCTTGTTGCCATGCTATTAGTACTAAGCAGAGTGATCAAAGAAGGGCTTGGATTGTTATCCTCTTCTGATGTGGCATCATCTATCTGCTTTTAGGATCCTGTTGATCCTGGGCCATGAACTTTGTGTGGTTGTCATATCCACCATCGGGAACCAGCAATCCTGTCTTTCTTATTCTGGTACACTGTGTGGCATCTATCAAAGTATATGGCAAAATCTTGGTGCTATATAAAGGTACCTGTAGATTAGTTCCAAAATATGAACAGTTAGAGGCTGTCCCTGTGAGTTTTCTTACAAATAAATATGACACACACACACACACACACACACAGGCTGTTGTTAATGTGTAAAATCAACCAAAGGATAGTAAGGGGCACACTTAAATAGTAATTCAGGTTACATTTGGTTTGGTGTTTAGGCTATCTGGGCAAAAGTAAGAACTTTTAAAAGACATTATCTTACCATACAGGTATTTTCCTTAATTAAAAAGAAATAAAACAAGAAAATAATTTTTTAAAAACTGTATTATGTTGACATTGACAGAAAAACTATAATTAGGTGGTATTAGACTTGAAAAAAATCATACCTGTTAATGTGAAGCCACCTAAAAGAAAAAAAAAGAAAAGAAATGTCATAATTTAATTTACATTACAAAAAACAAGTACTAGTGACATTACGATGCTTGATAACCCACTTGACTTATGAAAATCTGCCAGATTTATAATTAAGAAGAATATTAAAAGTTCAGTCATAACTGAACACATTCTCTCAAGATTATGCGAATTAGTGCATGATTATCGTTCTTGTGAAATACGCGAGGAATCACTGGCCCTCTAAAATGTCTATATACATTAAATTAAAAATGTGAATCAATGGTTTGGCTTCCACTAAAATGAGGCCAACATTCTTAAACAAAAATATGGCCAGTCCACAGACAGAGATAATAATCCAGAGCTACGGTATCATCTCAGAGAAGTGGAAAACAAGCTATAAAAATGGAAAGGAAAAGCAAGAAATGAAATGCTTACCAAGCTCACTCAACAACCCGGCTGTGAAGGAAACAGACAGAGACAAACACAGAATAAGAGAACAAATGAATAATGAAAGAGGAATATTAGCAGAAAGAAATCCAGGCAGTTTTTGCTAGACTGGCGGAAACCATCCCTTAAAAAATGTGTGCACCCCTATTGAATGCAATGTTGGGGACATTTCCAAATAAATGACCCCAATTGGAATATTTCTGTGTGATTGAAAAAAATCACCTTATATTTTTATTATATGTCTCTCTGTATCTCATAAGATATTTCTCCCACAGTTGTTAGCAAACAGTGCATACAAAATCTAGTGGGAATATTGGAGACAGTAATCTTTAACTCGGTTTGGGTTGAGCCTCTTCCAATAAATACCACCTGAGGGCTAATATACCAAATGATTGGAAGTTGTTAGTGACTAAAGACCTCAATTTCCTCTTAACAGGTAAAGTCCCCAGAAAAATCCGTCATATTGCCTTTGTCAGTAACTTGTACACGTTAATGAGCTGACCTGGATGCTTTCTACTGGACATAGAACTCCCGAGGACTTGACAGAGTGAGGAATGTGGGCCCATCTATAATGTAGCTGTTTAGATTATATTCTTTAAGTACAGCCAGGACGATAGCACTTTAGTTTTAATAAAAGTTAATCCGCTATGCAAGTCAAATTAAAGACTTCCGAGACTGTCTACAGGAATATTCCAAGTGCCTGTTTTCAGCCCAGTTTCCCTTGTATATTGGTAGTGGATGCAGAAGGAAAAATTCATTTGGCAGGTAGAAAACAGGACAGTACCATCAAGGAATTTTAATTTGTGTTAATATGAGGGCATATTTTACTAAAATGACAGTCAAAAGAGCTGATGCCAAGACACTCCTCCTTGAGATAAAAGACAGCTCTTTGGAGGCACACATTCAGAACTAAGTGCTTCTTCCCAGATGCTAACGAGGCATCTTTGATCCCATCTTAAGAAGACATAGTTGTTTTGAAGTCTCTTTTCTTTCTGTTTACTGACTATGGGACGTATTAAATGCGTTGCATTAAAATGACTCCCAAGCAATTCTTTTTCCATTACTTCTGTTGCCATTTTGTGCTTAAGTCAAGCATGATAGAAAAAGAACTTTTTTTTTTCTCAGATGGACTCTGAGGTCAGTGAGTTCTTGGAATGTGAGATTGTATTCCTGCAAATGATAAGCCTACACAGGAATTGGGCATATAGACTGCATTCCTTGCCCTACATTTAAAAAAAATTAAATAAAATTCTCCTTTTCTATTTGAAATTGAATCTATTAGAAAGTAGGGAATAGTTCGGATCAGAATTAGCTTCTCTTTGCAAATGTTTCTAAAACTGCAAGACCCTACAAAACCTAATTAACAAAAATGTTAAAAAAATCTTATAACTAAAAGAATAACACTTCAATTTTTTCTTATTACTATTCATATTAAAATTGTATTAATTCTGTAAGTATCAAAAGATTTTGGAGTATGGGTCGGATTAGTGTAAGTCAGGGTTAAGTGTTTACAAAACCGATCTCACACATATGACTGTGGTCTCATATGTATGGGTCCTTTATTTGTTAGAGTTTATTATTATTATTATTATTGCCACTGAGAGATGATCTTGCTCTGTAGTTCAGGCTGCCCTTGAACTTTCCATCTCTCCTCCTTGATTTCCCAAGCACTTGAATCACAGGCATGTGCCATCATGTCTAGCTTTATGGCTAAGTGATGTATTTGATGATACAGGAGATGTCATATCAAAATAAGGACATTAGCATATTGACAGCATGAGTCTTAAGGCTCCTTATTCTTATTAATTGCTTTCTTAAAGGGTGGAGCTGGACAGATTGGCACACACTTCTCAGTACTTTGGAGGTTGAGGCAGGAGGATCAGCTCTAGGCCATCCTCAGCTACATGAGACCTTGTCTCAAAAATAAAAAAGACAAAAAGAAAAAAAAAAGCCCTCCCCAAACCAGATTCTCTAAGAAGCCTGATGACTGAATTTTCTGTAATTTCTTATAAGTTGCTATTAGATCCATGCACCCTTCATCTGCTACGAACATTCAGGTGGGCTTGCTTTTCCTTCTACTGTCATTGGCAGGGTATGTCAGGTTTTATTGCTAGCACTCGAAGGGTGAGTGAACCTTTGTAGCTGTGCCTTTAAGTGGCTCGGAAGTGGCGGATAGCAGAGGGCATTCTCTTATCTCCTCATTCCTGAATTACAGAAATTCTTTCAGGATTTGTTAATAGTTAGCCATTCTGATGGCAATCAAGGTTAGTCAGTCCTTCCTGGAGAAAATGGGAATTGCTTGGTGAACTTCTAAGGGAAGGGGAATGAACCCGCTAAGCTTGGAGGCAATGGAGCTTAGTACTGGAAGCCGAGGAAGAGGAGAGAGTCAAGTGTGAGAGTAGGAGACAAGAGAGGGAGGGGAGTACACTTTCTCGCTGGTATGTCTGTGTATACTCTCACACCTTTCATTCCTCTTCTTATCCATTTTGGCTCCTCAAGCACAAGGGAGAAACTGCACTCTTTCTCATATTCCTCACGATCAAATATTCTAATGGTAATGATCTTCCTGTGGGGACACAAGACAAAGGCAAAACAAATGGTTGGCGTCACACACTCATGCTCTAGATGTCCACCAAGCCGAATGTTATGATGTTACGGAGAGAGAACTGGCAGCACATGACCTTCAGGCGTATGTAAAAGGGCATCTTGGGTGCTCTGCACTGGTCTCCCCTGAGGTTTCTGTGTGAATGGATTGCTTGCATAAATCCATCTGCTTCTTCCACAACTAAGAAAGCTGGCTTAGAATTTGGACACGGCCGAGGATCTGCGCCGATTTCCTCAGCTTTGGAGGCCTGATTGATTTTTGCTCAAAATTAACTTTCAGACTCGCACGGTGCAGTGTGGCCATAACTGGCTCATGGCGCTACAGTTGTGGCCAGCTGCTGCCAGCGTGAGCGCTATGCCCCGTTACATACGCGCCGAGGTATGTGTGCGCTGTCAGTCACGTTGTGAAGAATGCAGGCATCCAGGGAGGCACAGGCAGCAGACGCTGTTGGGCTCAGCCCTGGAGCTGCTCCCCCACCTTTCTTCTGACTCATCTCCACCAGGCGGGGCTCTCCAAGCTCAATGTAGAAGGTCTTGTTTTTCTCATACTCCTCATCATCAATTACCTTGACTTCAATTGTTTTGCTGAAACAGAGAAGAACAGAAATTGACGAACAGGGAAAGAGGCATGCAAAGGAACATAGGCAGGAGGAAAGCAAGGTTAGAGAAGTCACCGAGAACATAGTTCCTTGCCCAGGGCCACAGAATTAACTTGGGCAAAGCACAGTTGTCAACATGAGTAAGCTTGTCATTGGCATGAGAAAGAAAAGCAGAAAAGCAGATTCTAGTAAGGAAAGAAAAAAAAAATGATTATTAAAGTATTGAAATCTTGGGTTGTCTTAGCTGTGTCCTGAAAGCCAATGCTTTAGAGCAAAGGAATAAATTACAACAGGGCCAGTGAGAAGTTTCCATGGCTAAGGCACCCAGTCTGGTGACGAGTTCTACCCGTGGAAACCACCTGCTAGAAGGAGAGAACTGACTTTAGCAAGTTGTCCCCTGACCTTCACCCATTTGCCATGGCAGGTACACCTCCATACATACATATCCACACTCCTCCAACATACACACAAATAAAAAGGGAATAAAAACACGATAAAATATTAACAGACATGTTATCCTAAGTGGTGGGGTAATTTCTCCTTTCTCTGTGTTTTACTTTATTTCCAAGCATTATATCTTAAAAATTTTTGCTGCGTTTATGACATAATTACATTATTTTCTCTTCCATCTCCTCCCTCCAGACTCTCCCATATACTTCTCTTTTCTTAAAAAAAAAAGTCATGGTCTCCTTTTCCATGTATAACATGTGATTATACAAATATAATATAATATAATATAATATAATATAATATAATATATACACATACATACATTTTCATCTATATTTTTATGATATTTAATGTATAGTCTTAAATATAGAAAGACAACCTGCTCAAGCTGCATAATGTTACTTGCACATATAACTTTTCAGGGATGTTCATTTGCTATTAGACAACCAATTGGTGTACTCCCATGTATAATATTTTATCATAACACTTTATTTTGATTAACACGGAGAATAAAATCTCTTCTATCTTTCTCCCTGCTGTCTTAGAATCTAACTCGTTTAAGTTCCTTGGAAGTTGTTCACGTTTTGTTTACATTCCTAAAGATGGAAACTATTTCACACAACGGTGTCAAAAGTGTGGTGGCAGGGAGGGGACAACTGCTTATGTAATTATTTTCATCCCGTGCCAAGCTGAATTTCAACTTTCATTAAACTACGGCCTTTATATTTTTTTTCAACTTCATAAATACATTGTGGTGTTTCACGGAGAGTTATTGCTGCAATCCAGCCTTCAGAAATGTATGTCGTATGGTCCTATGGCTCTGAACGATTGATGAGTAGACAGGACAAGTACAAATATTATGCAAATCTAAACTTCTCTAATGATACCATACATAACTCTTGTTGAATCTGAAAATAGATTATTCTAATATTATCTTTTAACTAACAAAGTTTAAGTGTGGTATATATTACAATTTACCCAGAGCCTCCTAAATACTGATTTAACAAGATTTTGAAAATAACATTTACTGAGATAATATCGATTAAAGTTTGTGAAACAGTAGGTTTACATAAACAGAAAGTTTTAGCAATATGGAGATTCTTTAATTTTGGTAACATTTTCTGAGTCTTTTAGAAAGAGATGTGTCCACAATCTTGCTTTTAGTTCATTGATGAAATCTGCCAGGTTTCACTTATGTACAGGCTTTCTAATGATCATTTGTCCTTTTATCCTAGCACGAAGAAAAGAATAAAGAAGTTCTCTGAATTTCCCAGCCCCTTGTTCCAAATGTCTAACTCTTCCTATGTAGATTCAACATTGTGAAACAGACCAGACCTTGGAGCCTCGTATTGTCCTTCCCTTTCCCAGCTACAGAACATGCGTGGCACTTACATCCCAATTTATCCCTCCCGAGAAGCCAGGGCTCATTTGTGTTCCAAAGACCACAGCGGGTGAACAGCTAGAAATGACTCTTGTTAACAATAATCTCTTTCAGTGTAGATATTAATAAAACTATCAAGAGTATGGTATATACACATATACACACAGCTCCTGCCTAATTTTTAGAGCATGTTTCTAGATTCCACCTATTGAATATATATTATATATTACATATGTGTATGTGTGTGTGTATACAAACCTGGCACTTGAGAAATTCCCAGGAACCCACTGGATGACCCCTGGTAAGACCCTAAGCAATAGTGGAAAGGGTGCCCAAACTGGCCTTGTCTTGTAATCAGATAAATGACTATCTTAAACGTCATCCTAGAACTTTCATCCAGCAACTGATGGAAGCAAAAGCAGAGATTCATAGCAGAGTACTGGGCTGAGCTCCCAAAGTCCTGTAGAAGAGTGGGAGGAGTGAGAAAAAGAGCAAAGAAGTCAAGACCGTGATAGGAATACCCACTGAAACAGGTTACCTGAGCTAATGGGAGTCCACCAACTGTGGTCTGACAGTAAGGGAATCAGCATAGGACTAAACTAGACCCTCTGAATGTGGGGCAGACTATAGGGGCCACTGGCAGTTAGATGAGACTGGGCACTCAACTCTGTCACAGAAGTGAAAGCTGAAAACAATAAGTAAGTAGTGGGGGGGCATTTGTTTCTCTCTGTTCTTGATTGTGGGTGTGATGTGATTAACTGCTTAAATCCCTGCCTCAACTTCCCTGCAATAAGGGACTGCAGCCTGGAATGCTAAGGTAAGAACAGACCCTTCGTCCCCTACATTGTTTGTAGTCAGGGTACCTAATCATAGTAACAGAAATGAAACTAGAACACATTGCAATAGCTTTATTTTCTATACCCCAAGACGATAGCTACAATAGCCCATAAAACTTGTCTGCAATTTATCATTGGAGCATCTTTATTCATCATGATCAAAACTCTCTGAAAATATTTCAGCATTTGGCAATTGAGATATGAAAAACTCTATCTATATAAAAGAAAATATCCATATATGCCTTTCTAAAGACACCTAGAATAGATATCATTGGCATAACAGCATATCATTTCAACATCATTAGAGATGAATCAATAATGCCCTTGGCAAGACAAGCCGTTAAATTATATATTGATTTAGCTTCTCTAGTACAGTAAAGCTATTAATAGGCAATGTGATTATTAAAGGCCATTTCAGTTAATCTAAAGTAGCAAGATGAAGTCAGCCCTGAGTTAATTCTCTAAATCAAGACAGAATAGTCAGGAATCATGGCTTGTTATGTTCACCTTTTACTTCAGAACAGAAGGTAGCAATGGTGAAACTAACCAATATAATTTTCACGAGAAATTCATGAGAAACACCCTACTCATCTGCTGTTTCTCACTTAGCAGAGTCTAAACCTTGAAGACCAAGGTTCCAGCTCATCTACCACAGAGCATGCTGCATGAGCTGGGACTTGTTTGGTGATGACTGCAGCTAGACTGCCTGGATAATCATTGGAAGCATGCTCTTGCTTCCCAGGATTTGGCAATAGAAATGGAGTCTCAAGGATCAGGGGATCATGAAGTCCCACTGACACACCAAAACCCTGTTATAGGATGCTACTGGCCTTTCTGCTTTGTTCAGCCGTAGAAGGATGTCAGAGAAATGCTATTTCTTTCAGTTGACAGGATGACAAAATCAAGCCTGAAAGAGTTGGGTAAACATAGTCCTTTAAGCAAGCAGAACTCACACATTATTGCTCTGATGAGGAACGAATAGAAAAACAAGTGCCTTGCTATTTTCAGCAATCATGACTGTTCTAAAGACAGAGAGGAGAAATCACTTGATCCTTTCCATCCTTAACTACAAAAAATGCCTTTTCTAGAAATGAATAAAACAGTAGAAAATCTTATGATAACAATAAAATATTTCTCAACGGGACCAAGACGTTTACAGAAACTGTTTTTGTTTCATTTTTCTAAAGATTCAGCTATGAAAGGAGCTATTTATTGAAAAATACAGATCATCCCTTCTGATCTTGGTGGTACCTTTCATGTACACACACCAGTATGATTCTACTTCTTAGTCCCTCTTATCTGATGGCTCTCATAAGACTCAACTTCAAACAGACTACCAGAGAGTCTTGTGGTGAGTCACTGATGAAGGAAAGAAAGTCATGACTTTCTTAGCGGTGGTTGAAACAGAAAACCTCGTTAAATATACTTTAGTTTTCATTAATCTAGAGTGGCATTCCTATTTCTTTTTTCAAATTAATTTAAATTTTACTTTGTCTTTCTGTGGTTTTATTTTTCTAGGTCTGCCGTTGGTGTCAGAAGAAGATGGCAAGAAATAGATGAGCCTGGAGATTAAAGAGGAGGAATTCCTTTCCGGATTCTAACACTGAAAGTTTCACTGAGAACATCACAGATTTGCATGCATCCATACCTTCCCCCCTTAAGATTTACCCTCATTTAGGCACACTCAGAGGTGAGTCGAATCGGGCACTTTTTATTTCTTAATCTATAGGTCTTCCTGACGTTCCTAGAAGTAATTCTTACTTCCTACGATTTACAGAGGAAATTAGACTCAAAAGAAGTCAGTGGTAGCCAACTTTAGCTGTTTATTTCTTGAACTGGCTTCAAGGACCAGCTCCTTTGAATTATATGACCTACTGCCAACCACCAGGTTCCATAATCAACTATTCAGTAAGTTTATGACCACATTAAACGACGGAGACCATTGTTTTAGGTTAAATGCAGACTTGTTATTTTATTTTTACATTCACAAAGACTTCTTGTATGAACAAGGATAGAATTTCATTTCTATTTTTGAAAGAAATACAGAACATGGTGCAGTCTATGATGGCTGCCTTGCAAGGTTAAATCTTTGAAGAAGAGATAAAGCTTTAATTGGAAAATGTCATGTAAACACACAGGGTTTCACCAAAACTGAGGACTGAGTAGCCGAACAGTAGGCTTAACCTCATTCAGGGCTGCCTGATACAACTGGATAATTTCAGGTCCACTCTCGTCTACCAAAATTAGTATCTAAATTTCAATGTTTCCAGACGATTTCTATGCATGGTGAAGTCCAAGAAGCCATGATAAGAAGACCAA